CCTATGATATGTGTAGCAGCAGTGTTTCAGTCCCTTAGACGTTAGGGCAGCTAATGGATTAATTAATAACTTTTAAACTATTACTTGAGATATTAGATCATTTAATGTGTATCACACAAAGATGAGTAAGAAAAAGGGAAAGGAGACGCATGTGCACGCGGCCGACCCGCGCAACGAGGAACACCGAACGCAAGGAACGAACGAAGGAAAATCGAAGAAGAAGAAGAAGAAGAAGAAGAAGAAAAAGAAAAATAACGCGGGCGCCGGGGAAACATGCCGAACGAAAAAGCATTAGTATCTACTTCGCATTTTCAGTAGGGTAGAGGAGAAGACGAAACGAAATCGCTAAAACTAACAGAACTCCACGAAAACGAGAAGAACAAGACGAAAAAGAAGAAGAAGAAGCTGAAGAGGATGATGAAGAAAAACGATCATCGACACAAAAACAAAGGAAGGCTGGCGTCACAGAAAGTTCCCTCGATTTCATTTCGTCAACGTGTCAAGGAGTCTAACGTCTGAGCTCGTTCGAATGATCATTCTTTCAAACGAGAACAAAAAGCATTCCACAATTTTTACTTTTAACGACTAGGACGATCAGCCATTCTCACAGAATTCTGGACACGAGGAGAGGCATTTCTTTTTTTACTTTCTCTTTCGATTCGTCATCCGATGAATTGTATGCGTTGTCTGGAAAGGCTATCGAATGAAGAAGCAGAAGAAGAAGAAGAAGAAAATGAATGAAGAAAGAAGAAAACGAATGAAGACTTGCGACAAGAACGAAGAAAGACAAAATGAAGAAACGGAAATCGATTTGATTCCCGGAGCATTTTCAATGATTATTCCAATTAGCGGTTAAGCGTCCGATCGCAACCATGTCGTGACGTTAGGAATCGTGCAGGACGGCGAGATCGATTAAAAGATTAACGCGAGACACGTCACATGGGACAACACGAGTCGACACGGTACACAAAGAGACACACTCTCCCGAATTACCCCGGCCGGTGTAATTTTGTGTCGCGGAGACGTGCTTACCGGGGAACCGCGATGACGGAGGAACGCCCAAAATCCTTTAAATACGATTTACCGCGTTGTGTAGATTATTTAAAGATTTTATATGTATACAATTGTTTCATATATTGTATTTTTTTAGCGCAATCTGTTAAGTTCCTTTTTATTGTAACATACATCCTCCCTTTCTATCTGTCTATATTACTCTGTTTCTGTACCCCTCTATTTCTCTGTCTGTAATCTATCTGTCCACCTATTGTGTTATCGCGCGGCTTGTAACGCGGATTAATTTATATACGTGTACCGTGGCGGAGGAAAAAGAGTTTCTTCAGGGAGCGATATGGAAAGCGAGTATTTTCTGTTGCGGGAGGATGTGTTGAGTAATTTATGGTAATTAGCTTCTCGTGAATATTTGTTTTAAATAAGGTGGGAAAGCGGGAGAGTCACGCGTAAGAAGGATTAATTGTATTATAGAATTATTTGAAATTAATTGTTTTTTGTGGGTAGATTTATCAGGGTTTCTTATGCTTCAAGATTTTCTTGTTTGTTGATACGAGTATTAATATTTTGAATGAAATATTCTCAGATTGATTAAATTCTTGACAGTACGTTTTCTGTGTTTGTCACATATTTCTCTAGATTCCATTATTGAATTTGACGTTTCCAATTGATTTAAATATTAACCCTTTGCACTTTAGAGGTGATTCTCTGTCACCATACGAGTTGATATAACAAAATCATAAAGTCTTACATATAATATTAAGCTTCTTATAATCCATGAATATGGAAAATATAGATAATACTTTTGTTTCTTAATTTATGTGAAGGATGTCGTCTATAACTCATTGGAAACTGTTGAATATTTCTAATGAAAGACTTTCGAGAGCAAAGGGTTACACCATTTCGATTGCTTCTGTCAACTTATAAACTACAAATGTAATGAACAATTACAGATGCTCGCACATTTTCTTAGATACTTCCCACAAAAGAATTATGTCCATCAATTGCCCAATATATATTTATTTATCTTCGTTATCTTTTCTTTCTACATTCTTCTCTGTTATATTTCCCTGAACTTCGATATAAAGTCTGAAAACTTGTACCTAGGAAAAAGTAAATATAATTTAAATTTTAATTTTAATTTTAATCTTAATTTTACAATTAAATATAAGGAAATATGAGACACTTTTATGGAGAAATCTGCGAATCATTGGGCATACACGAAAAATACCAATTGTCAAACTTTCTTTTGTCCGCCATGGTATAATAAGAAGCACGAATTTCATGAAACCAAGGCTCGGCTAAGCTTCATCCAGGTTAATTAACTCTCACTGACGCCGATACGTTTCTTTCTCGGGATGCAACGCGCGTGTGGTACATACAACAGTTGCAATACTAGATTTGTAAGGCTCTTCTCTCTCCTCCCTTCGACCCCCTTTCTCCCACCACTTTCTTTACTTCATTCTCTTGTTTTTAATTGTAGGTACTTTATTATCCCATAAACAATGCAGCACTAATATTCGCCTGTTACGTTTAAAAATTAAGATGAACGAAACTTCCTTCATTTAAAATATATTTCCCTTCATTATTTATAGATTATCTATCTGTACATTACAATTAAACCAACACTAGGTTGAAAGAACAATTTTACACGCATTGAATTTTATCTATAAATTTAATACTTAAGATGATTTGATAAATATTTGCGTCAATTTTTATTAATACAATTACACGAATATTTATTCTAGTTGTCTATTTTTAACCCTCTCATTTCCAAGATCTAAACGATCAATTTTTCTAGGACCAATAAAATAAATTGTACACTAAACGTCCGTGAAACTAGTGTTAAAAAACGTTTTTCGTAATTCTTAAGAATATTTTTAAAAATTGCATTGTTTATGGGATAACCGTAACGAATCGTAAAAAAAGAACGATCGAGACAAAAGATGCAGGAAAGAAGAAACGAGATTGCTTGATCATTTTCTCCCGGCGCGTCGTTGCGTTTCATTCGACGTTCATTTTTTATTCCGTGGCGCGGTGATATGTTTCGATTGCGCGTGAACACGTACACACGAACACACACGAACACGAACACACACGTATATATCTTATATACATTATATATTTGATAGACTTCGACGCGATTTGCTCAGTACGGGTGATTCGATTCGTTTCGTTCGCCTGGATAGAGAATTATCCAGGCCGCGGACGCATCGTCACTCGCGCGAAGAAATTTCAAGATGGACGACGTTCATTGACGATCCCTAACAAAGCAAAATCAAACGAGAGAAACATTGTATTTTCTTTTCCTCCGACGGTTCAAACGA